GACTTTACCTCTGAGTAACGTCTGTGTTTCCCTTTGACTTCCACACAGAGAATAGCTAAGAATAAAGGCTTCATTGGCCTTTCTCGTTTCTTTAAGTCAAGTCTTTCTTCTGAAATTGCTTCAGGTGACCTTTATTTTAGCACGACAAACCAAAATTAAGCTTTTAAGGTGGTATATTTTGGAGTATTGCTTCGAAAGATGGCCCCCTCCAACAGTGAAGCAGGAGGGGAAGGGAAGTTGCCTCATAGGAAGTGTTTAGGTGAAAATTGATTTTCTTGAAACCCTCTGGCAGAACCAGGACCTTTCTCTCAGAGGGTTCTGGGGTGGAGTCCCGGGGAAACCAGGACCAGAGGGTTCTGGGTCGGAGTCCCGGGGGAACCAGGACCAGAGGGTTCTGGGTTGGAGTCCCGGGGAAACCAGGACCAGAGGGTTCTGGGTTGGAGTCCCGGGGGAACCAGGACCTTTCTGGGTGGTTCTGCATGTTCTCCTGTGTCTGTGGGTTCTCTACGGGTTCTCCGGCTTCCTCCCACCGTCCAAAAATCTGCATGTTAGGTTGGTTGGACTCCAAACTGCCCTTAGTGTGAGTGTGTGTGGCTGTTGGTCCTTGTGTGTGTCTGTGTGTCCCTGTGATGGACTGGGGACCGTCCAGGGGGACCCCGCCTGTCCCCATTGGCTACTGGGACAGGCTCCAGTCCAGACCCCTGGACTGGATTGATGGTTTTACAGTTTATTGGGTTCTAGTTGGCTTAAAACCAGATTTGTAAAAGGACTATAAAAGGCTGCGTAAAATATAATTAAATGGACTGAATTGAATGTTCTTGTCATTGTAATCAGACGTTAACGTTTTCTTCTGATCCGGAGCCCATTATCTCTTTATTGAGGACTCCTCTGGAGCTGCTTTCTGCTGCTTTTGTATTCGTGCATTTATTTGTGTGGATCGATTCAGAGGCCTGGGAGTCCCGGTCCCTAAAGCTGCTGGTCCAGGAGCAGTTTCCGAAGTTCCTGTCAGCTCTGATCAGGCTGACGGAGCAGAAGGCTGATGAACAGGGCAGCAAACACCAGGCCACGTCAGGAAAAGCAATATCTGTGTCTGCCGGGGTCCGGCTGGAGAGCGTCTCCTGCCCCCTGAGAGAGGCTTTTTAGCTCAGTGATCCAGGAGTAATGTCGCCTGGGGTTCAGTGTCTCCAAATAAAAATCTATTCAGGTCGTTCATACAAAAAAAAGCCTCAACTTCTACTGCTTCAGTTTGTCACTCAGTTTTGGAAATGTGGGAATGATTAAGCGCAGTTTGTTGAAACATCATAGAAATCTTTACTTTACCCATAAGGTGATAACGTAAGAAATATGACTATAACTGTGAGCTCTCTAAAGCATTTTACCTCCATCAATTAGAGTTGGACAACCAGAGTGTGGTTCTTCCACCAGGAGATCAATACAGACTCTAAAGAAATTGATTGTTATATTCTAACTGTCTTAGAGTCAAACTCTTTGATGACGATTCCACCTTAAATTTCGTCTATTATCAGTGCACCTTTAGACTCATCTGATGATAAACGGTGAAGGTTTGGAAAATAAATCTCTCTGCTCGCCCTGTTCTCAAAACAAGTTCTTAATCTGTTACCTGGATTTGTTAATGTGTCTCTGGTGGATTCTCAGACTTAGAAACTTCTCTTGGACTCAATTGGACACTCTGAATTGCCCCTAGGAGTGATGTAAGTTTGTGTGTGTGGTTGTGTGTCTCTGTGTGGCCCTGTGATGGCAACATGTGCAAGGTAACACTCAGCTAGGACAAGCAACCCCCCTGTTTTCATTTACAAAACAGATTAAACTGTTTTTATCACACCTTCTTATGTTTGCTATTATTATTAATCATCATTATTCTTATTGTTTTTTGTTGTTTACGAAGTTGATTTCACTGTTTAGTTCACAAGTTTAGTTCCCTGCTCAGACATTGATCCACAGAACAGTTTCCATCATTTACATCCACCTATTTCGCATTAAATGACTTATTCTTAGCCAAAAAAGTGTTTTTTTATCATTGAATGAGGTCATAAATATTTAAAAGTCTGTCTCCGAGACAATTCTGGTCTCCTTTGAAAAGCTACACGACCACTTTCCCTTTGAGTAGCAGCCAAACTGTTTGTGAGCGGGTCTCTGGTGGCTCCTGTGAGACACCTGAAGGGCACCTATTATTAGAAACTAAAGGTAAAGCAGGTCTGTGGCGTTTTTGCTAAATACCTCTTTGATGTTTTTCATATTTATTCACGCCCGGGGTCTTACGGGCAGGAGTGTGATGGAGCCTCCCTTTAAGATGTCCCATTTTTAGCTCTTTTCCTCAGCTATTTGAGCTCTGGCTGAATAGCCGGAGCCCTGGAGACTCCGGGCCCTGAACCTGCCGCCCCCCCCGTTATGGACCTGACCATCACAGCCCCGGAGAGGCCAGTCCCTCTATTGGTCAGGGGAGAAAAAAGGCAAAAGACGCTAAAGAACCCGGTCCCCCTTTAGGGGAGGATCAACCAGACAAACAGCACAGAGCCGGCTGGAGGAGGAGCCCCGGGGAAATATGGCCCCCGGCCCC